AGATCTATAGTTATATAGCTCTTTTAATTTACACACGTGAGCATACATATAGCTTTTTTTCCCATTGCACACCTGCATTGCTAAGGTGGTGAGTCCAGGAAGATTTTTAGGCCTTAGGCAAACACTGTTTCCAGAACTAGCCCCCTTCTCTATCCCCAAGGCTTACTACATTTCCTGTTTCATTAAATCCAGTGACACTGTAAGAAGGCAGGATTTTCCCTTGAAAGCAAAGGTACATAGTATAATCCAAGAAATTCAACCATTTGTTTTTTTCTCATTGTGAGTGCAAATAAGGGACACCATAGCTCAGTGAAAATAAGACCAACCTGGGGTATAAGAAGAATTAGAGTTCCAGTCCTGCCTTGGTCATTACATATGATAACTACTGTGCAAAGGGGAAGAGACAACTTCACAGAAAAGCATGATTTCTAAGCTGAATTTTAAAGAGTGAGTAGCAGTTGGACAGGAGGAAAAAGCATCCCAAGCAGGATGAACAGGGCAGGGGAAAGAGGTACATGGTATTCAGAATGGCCTGAGCTCAGGAAGCATGTCGGGCAGTGGAAAGTGCAGAAGATAGAAAAATGCACTGAGGTCAGGTCATGAACCTTACTTTAAACCTGAACTTGACACTTTAGAAGAAACACATAGGCACTTTTGTGTTTTTGTTTGTTTTTTTTCATATATTTACACAAGTTCAAAATGGTATTCACAACATCTTCTAAATCTTGGCAAAGAGTCAAAAAAATGCATAAAGCTTTGGAACTTTTGAATGATTTGAAGAAAGGAATTGACATAATTGGATTTGATCTTAAGATTATTTTGACAAAAAGTAAGTAGCTATTTTCAGGGAATTTGCAATATAATAAAAATATATTGATTACTTAAATACTAACTTTTTTTCTAATTTTGATATTTTAATATGTATTAAGTTCTTACAATATGCCAGGCTCTGTGTTAAGCCTTTTTTTAATGCATTATCTCATTTAATTCTCCCACGAACTTTATGGAAAGATTCTGTGATCATCCCTATTTCACAGTCAAAGAATCCAAAGATTAGAGAGAGGTTGGATAAATTGCCCAAGTTCATATAGTAAGTGAGAGCAGGAATTTAAACTCAGGCAGTTTGGTTCTACAGCACTAGTTTTAACCTTCAGGGCAGTGGTCTTTAATCCTGACTGCAAACTAGAATCACCAGTGGACTTAAAACCAAAACAAACTGATGCCCAGAATTCTCAATTAAATCAAAATTCTTGGGGGTGGGGCCTGGGCATCCACATATTTTTAAAGTGCCTCCAAGTGATCCGTTAGGGCAGAGAGGGTGGCGGTCCACTGAAATAGACTACTGTCACCTTAACATACACTGAATAGTCAATGATTTTACCAATTTTACTCTCACAAAGTAAAAATATGGCCTTCATCTTTTTTAAGACTGTGAGGCAGCACAGAAGCAAAATCAAAGATAGTAGGGGTGAGAAAAAAAAAAAGTGACAGAGGCGTGTCAAGATAGGAAAGAATAGCTAAAATTGCTAAAATCGGGATTGTTGAAGTAATAAGACACTATCTACTGATGAGCCATTGGTAATATCAAAGGCACATTTGCAGAATGTTTCCTTTTCAGTAACTGTACAAAGACTCCCTTGCCATTACAAAGCACTTTTCTTCTTGGCAGAGTGAAGAATGCTTTACCAACTAAATGCCTCCCAGTAATATTCAGAGCTTAGGTCCAACATAATCATAAGTTGCTTTCTTATTACGGAGGTAGCAGCCCCATTTAATAACATATTAAATGCATTATTCATTTATGTAACTCAGACCCAGAGACAGATGCTGGGATGAAAATAGAACCATTCTGTAATGCAAAAAGCCGGTGTGTGCTTACATGAGTAAATGAACTCTGTATTTCTGCACAATTTTCTTCTAAATTTCAGGGACAGGTCTGGGAGGGCTAATGTGATGCCATTTTCATTCAGGAAATAAAATGGTTTCAGAATGGTTTTTAATGAGCATTTAAAAAAATTACCAACAGTCTTTGCTGTGGCAAAATCCCAGGGGGATAGATTTGTGCTTTGAATTTAAGCAGAACTGTTGTGGCAGGATTCAGGAAAGCCTGAGGTGATGGAACAGTGACAAACAAAAGGAATGTTCTCTAGCTGATGATGACAGTGGTGATGGGGAGCCCATGCTTCTATAACTGCTCATCACAGGTGTGCTTGGATACTAAATGATTAAAAATGATAGCCTGCCTTTAGTTCGCATAGTACCTTGCCTCTGAAACATGCAGGCAGTTTCTGATGCACAGTTAAACTCACTGAGATGCTGTAATTATCCTAGGTGGCATTGCTGGTCCTTTTCTTCGTACTGTTGCTGATACCAGAATGCTACCATTCTCCAATGTCTTGTTTTTCTTTTTTGTTTTTTTTCCTCTTCCTCCCACCTGCTCTCATTTTTTCTTTTAATCAGCATACACTCATAAGCACCTACGAAGGATATCTAAAATATCAGATTGATCAATGTTCAAAATGCTCAGCCATGACAATGACCCATCAGAATAGGCAGTTATTTTAGTGCTGGAGCAGGGTTTTTGAGACCAACTGATGTGCTAGGTTTAAATCTTTAGTTGCTGGATTGTGAGAAGCAGAGACTCTAAGGATAGGGATCAGCACAGCTAAGTTGGTGGGTAAGATGCTTGGTGGGTTTGAGGTAGTGTTAATAACCAACTGCTATGCACATATTTCAACATTTACACTGGTACAGTAATAACCGTATGGTCCTCTTGATCACCAGAAAGAAAATTATGCAAGGAATAAAGGGGTTCTATCAAGTAAATCATAAGGATTCCTTTGAGAGTTTAGAGGAGGGACAATCGTATTCCATTTAAAGAGGCAGTGCAGTGTAGCAGTAGGAGAGGATGTGTTGGGAATAATTACAGTATCTTTTGTATTAGGATTATTTTGCAGATAAATGAGAGAGTTCATGTAAAGAACTTAGCACAATGACATAGTAAGTATTCTCTAAATATGAACTTCTTACTATTTTGTTATTATAGTCAGGAAAATTGTCTTAGAGAAAACAAGAAGTAAGCTGTATCTTAAATGGTGAGTAAGTTTTAGGCAGCTGACAGGGTGTGCAGGAGGATATGGAAGTAGAAAGAGCAAAAGAAATGAAGTACTTTCAAGAGTATTAAAAAGAGAGATTTGACTAGAGCAAAATGAATTTGTTGGGGAGAAAGTGCCCAAAAGTGGAATGAAGTTAGCTTGTGGAGGGCATTATGCATAGGATTACAGGGTTTGCAACTTATCCTAAGGGCATCTGGAAGCCATGAAAGTTGTGAACAAAGAGGAGAAATAATGATAATAATAATAAATAAAAATAATTGTTAATATTTTATGAGCACTTGCTAAGTATTAAGGCTGTTTTAGGTGTTCTGTGTACATTAACCCATTTATTCCTTGCATCTACCCTGAGATGTGTTAATTATTGACCTTGTAGTGATCCATAGTGTTCAAAGATCTTTTCCAGACAGTATCTCATTTGACTTTTTCAACTGTGTTTTTTGTTAGTCAATCCTGAGACTCAGGAACAGAGGAGAGGTCATTAGCTGGACTTAAATGGATAATTTAAATTGGAAAACTATGCCTTCGGGCCAAATTTGGCCCACTGTCAGTTTTGTAAATAAAGTTATACTGGAATCCAGCTGCATAAATTATTTTGTTTTATGTATTGTCTGTGTCCACTTTTATACAATGAACTCAGGTAGTTGTGACAAAGAACATATAGCCTGCAAAATTAAACATTTACTATCCGGCCCTTTTTATAAAAAGTTTGCCAAACTCTGGTCTAGAATAGTGGAAAGTAGGCTATGATTGCTTCCAATTTGAGCTCTACCACTAACTCCAGGCAAGTAGACTTGGAGAGCCAAATAGATATAAATAAATGAATACTTTTTACTGTGGACCTCACAGTAAAAAAGATTATGAACAGGCAATATTGAATCTAAAAAAGTCTTAAAAGTTGGTCATCTTGAAATCACAGATTCAAATTTGCTATGAGTCTGATAAATTGTGTAGGATAAATTTGTAGCATAATTCATTTTTTTCTATTAAAGCTAAAACAAGAAATAAGCAAGAGAATAGGAAAGACTTATTCCATCTGCAAAAACTGAAGCCTCCTTAATGTGAGATTTCAATAGTTTAATTAGTGTACCTTTCATGAAATGTTGAGTCAAAACTATCAAATTTAGTTAAATTTTTCGGCACTACACCATTACTTAGCATCCACTATGAGATCTATTGACTCCTGTATCCATAATAATCTATTCTTTCTCTGAATTATAAATTCCCTTGCAATATATTTTATTCATTCTACTCCTTAATTATATTGCGTTTGAATTATCACCTGGGTTATCCATTTATGTCTCTTCAACTAGATTATAAACTCAGTGAGACTAGCAATGATATCTTCTACTTTTGTGCATGTCCCACAGCTCCAAAATGAAGAAATGATTTGTCAACAGATTAGATTAATAAAATAAGTCAATTAAAATGCTACTAATAGGGGCCGGCCCGGTGGCGCACTGGATAGTGCGCCGCTTGGGAAGCGCAGCGGCGCTCCTGTCCGAGGGTTCGGATCCCACATACAGACCGGCTCCTGCTCACTGGCTGAGCGAGGCACGGGAGCAACACCGAGGCTTGCGATCCCGTTGCCAGTCCCCGGTCCGGTACGGGGGCAACACTGAGGGTTGCGATCCGTTGCCGGACACGGAAAAAAAAAAAAAGACAAAAAAAAAAAAAAATGCTACTAATAGATACAATGTGTTACTATGATTATCTGTCTTTCTTTGGGTATTTTATATGAATCAGCTTTACTCCTCACAGTAACATGAAAGATGGTCAGGTGGTTATTGATGATCCTCAGGGTTAGGCACTAGCTGCAAGTTTAAAAACTCAGGAGTGATCTGCTTTACAATGAGCTGGTTTATGACTTGAACTTTCTTTATGTAGATATAGGAAGGTTGTTTCCAATAACTGCACTGATGGAGTAAGAGAACAGTACACTGCCAAACCACAGAAGTGTCCAGGGAAGGCCCCTCGGGGGCTCCGGATCGTCACCTCTGATGGAAAGCTGACAGCAGAACAAGGACACAATGTTACTCTCATGGTGCAGTTGGAAGAGGTAGGACTGATTCCTGTCTTCCCTCTGCTTTCTAGAGCCAGTGATTTTTCATAATAAGTTATGGTTGTGTTTGCATATCTTTTTCAACTTTCTCAGTTTTAGATGCTATATTTTTTATTTTATTCTGTTTTAGTTTCTTGTTTGTTGTTATCATTTCACCTTCCCTGACACATTTCTTCAATTACTTAAATTTCACTGAAACTTGTTCACTCCTACCTAATCTCTTACTTCTTGGGGCTTCTGTTTGGATTTAACCTTGCCTTATTGGCACTTTCAGCAAACTATTTTCTGAGAATATGTTAATGAGATTCTTAGAATAATTTAATGCACACACATACTCAGCCAACCTAAAAGAGGCTAATGCTTTCATCTTCTCTCAGCCTGAAGTCTTGACTTTTCCTTTCCAAAGGCAACACGATGGTCATTCATATAGCACTAAGGCCAATCTAACCATATCTGGCAATTAAGAGTTTGTATTTTTGTAGTACTTCAGGGATATCATAGTGAGCATCAATTATTATTTGCCAAATTATGGTAATGTAAAATGTCAGACTATTATTAGATGGTGCACAAGATGAAGTTCATCTTAAGTATTTTAGAATGTACAGGGGCATTTTTATCATCTTGTAAAGGAGGAAAGTGTTTCCTAAAGGAAAAGCACTTACATTAAATTATCTCAATTATGAAACCAGGCAGTCCTACCTTCAGCCACATTTTATGTGTACCTAAACTATGGCCAGCACTGTGCTAGGCCCTGTGAATTCAAAGGTATTTTAAAAGTTAATAGTGATACTAGGATTGAAATATATAACATTGACTTCTAACTTCCTCTTCTGATAGTCCAGTGGCTCTCAGGCTTTAACATGCCTAAGAATCACCTGGAGAGCATGTGAAAACACTGTTGTTTTTTGTTTGTTTGTTTGTTTGTTTTGTTTTGGTCACATCCCCAAAGATTCTGATTCAGTAGGTTGGGGTAGGGCTCAAGAATATGAGTTTCTTACAGGTTCACAGGTTATACATTATGCTTCAAGAAAACCAAAAACAAGGTGAAGGTGAGAAGGATAGAGAAGTCAGAGGCTCCAGAATGTGACCTGAAGGGGAAAAGACAAAGCAGTTAGAAATGATTTGTCAGGTTGGATCAAAATTATTAGTATTTTAATTCCTATAGAAAAAATTAGCTGTGAAATCATGAGTTTGAAACTGACTCAGATGGTGCTGATGTCTCTTGTCCACGGGTCACTTAAAGAACCACTGCTGTAACCTGATTCTACTTTCCTAAATATCTCCTTAATGAGGGTCCTTCAACTATACTCAACCTTCAGAAGATTTAAATAAAAAAAGACTGAGAATATCAAGTGTCGATGAGAATGTGGAACAACTGGTCATTCATACAATGCTGTTTAGAGTGCATATTGGTACTGCCACTTCGGAGACTTGTTTGACATTAACTACTATAGCTGAACGTATATACCACCTATAAACCAGCATTTCCACTCCTAAGTATATATTCATCAGAAATGCATACATATATGCACCAGAATATATGTAAATATATGCATACCACAAGTATTCTATTCATAAAAGCCCTAAGCTGAAACAATCTAAACATTTATCAATAGTAGAATGTACATATTACAGTATATTTACAGAATGAAATGTCACACAACAATGGAAAGGAACAAACTAAAACTACATTCAAAAAATTAGGTTGAATCTCATTCAATACTGAGCTAAAGAAGTCAGACTGAAAAAAACACATATTGTATGATTCCATTTGTTAAAATGAAAAAATAGGCAAAGCTAATTTATGGTAATAGAAGTGAGAATAATTGTTACCTTTGGAGAGGGAGTGACAGGGAGATTTAGAGGTTTGGGAAATTTTCAATTACTTGATCTGGGTGGTGGTTAATAAATATGTTCACTTAGTAAAAATCAAGTTGTATATTTAATGATTTATATGTTTTTAAAGTATATTTTATTCAACAAAAAGCTTACTTAAAAATTATGTTGGGTTGAGATATCACCTCACCTCAGTTAGAATGGCTATTATCAAATAGACAAAAAATAACAAATGCTGTCAAGGATGTGGAGAAAAGGGAACTTTTAATACACTGTTGGTGGGAAAGTAAATTGGAAAATGGTATGGAGGTTCCATATGATTCAGCAATCTCACTGCTGGGTATTTATGCAAAGGAAAAGAAATTAGCATACCAAAGAGATATCTGTACCCGCATGTTTATTGCAGCACTATTCACAATAGCCAAGAAATGTAATCAATGTAAGTGTCCAACAACAGATAAAGAAAATGTGGTATATATACAAAATAGAATACTACTTGGCGATGAAAACTAGTGATATTTTGTCATTTGTGGCAACATGGATGAGCCTGGAAGACATTATGTTAAGTGAAATAAGTCAGTCACAGAAAGATAAATACTGCATGTTCTCACTCATATGTGGGAGTTTTAAAAAAAAGGTTGAACTTTTAGAAACAGAGAATAGAATTGTGGTTACAAGAGACTGGGAGGGGTTGGGAGGAGGGACACAAAGTTACAGCTAGATAGAAAAAATAATTTCTAATGGTATACAATGGTGCTAGGAATCTATAATTAACAATAATTTATTGTATGTTCCCAAATGGCTACAGGAAAAGAAATTTGAATGTTCTCATCACAAAGAAATGATGAAGTTTTGTGATGATGAATATGCTAATTACCTTGATTTCATCACCACTCAGTACACACGTATTGAAATATAACTCTGTACCCCTAATTATGTGCAATCAATCGTTTCAATTAAAAATCAACAAATTCTTTTAAAAAATTTTTTAAAACACAAATTTAAGTTAATTAAAATTTAAAAGAATCACTTTGGAAATTTATATTAAATATAGTACTTTCTATTTAGGTCTTTGGGACAAAAAGGAAAAGAAAATAACCTTTCTGGGAGTCTTAGGGAAGGATTCGTTTCCCGGGCCAATCCTCTACTCTATGTTTACCTGGGTGGTAAATGTGGAAGTCCCTTTCCCAGGGAACCCGATCATGATACCCAGAAGAGCATCATCTTTTGGAGCAGCAGATGTTTATGCTGGGGCAGAATCCAAATAGTTGTTCTAGGGCCGAGCCCGTGGCGCACTCGGGAGAGTGCGGCGCTGGGAGTGCAGAGACGCTCCCGCCGTGGGTTCGGATCCTATATAGGGATGGTGGGTGCGCTCACTGGCTGAGCGCGGTGTGGGCGACACCACACCAAGGGTTGCGATCTCCTTACCAGTCACGAAAAAGACAAAAAAAAAAAAAATTAGTTGTTCTATTTCTACAAGTACAATAAAGCAAGATGTGAAACAAGAACTTTCACTTCTGGTCTGCCCCAACCTTTCCACAAATAATGAACACACTTCAGGACAAAGGCCAGGCAGGCTCTCATCTGTTGAGCTTTGCTTTCTATGTAACAAAGATCATCAGACATCTCAAACTGGGCTGAGTGACGTGGGAAGAGATTGAGGAATCTGGTTCTTAGATATGTAAATTTATGCCTTCTGGGTGCAAGACGGGAAAACATAACAGATCAGTTCATTTCACTTGAGTGGGCAAAGCTACAACAGCAGGGAAGAAATCTGCTACCTTCAGCTGTCAGATCTGGCCCTGTGACATTCTTATCTCCTAGTGCCAAGAGGACCATCAAGCCAAGAGGACCTTCCTCATATCAGGGGAACCTAGGGACCTCACATTTGAATATGCTAATAATGATTCACAAATGACTCCTTGCAGAAACAACCTGTTTCTCTTTCACTCTCTGAATTATATACTAAGAGATGCATGTGATAAGCAGTGCAGAATGAAGAAAAGCAGAGTGTCTCTGGGAATTTGGTGAGCATTGAAATTTGACACAATGATCACAACAATTTGGTTGCCCAACATTTATTGATCACTAGTTGTTTGTCTGTAAGTGCTTTACATGGATTATCTCATTTCGACCACACAGCAACCCTGTGCAAGGTGATGTTATCATCACCATCATTTTACAGATGTCATAGCTGAGGCACAGAAAGGCAAAGTAACTTACCTGAGATCACACAGCTACTAAGTAATAGAACGAGGAGTCAAATCCAGGGTCTATGGATTTTGCCTTTCTATTGTTTCTCTTGGGTGGAAAGAACCATTTTCTGGGGAAGAGCTTCATGTCATTCCTAAGTCTCTGTATAAACCCTTAGTTGAGGATAGGTAATAACAAAGATGAAGGACTATAAAGAAAAGACAAAGTTATCTGGCAAAAGTCATTGTGACCTGTGGCTGCTCCTATATTTTTAGACTCTAATCCATGAATCTACTAAGGTTTTTCTTCTGGCTTTTCTGAGAATATTTATGGAATCAGTTTGTTGAACATTTTGGCAAAGAGAGATGCTAGATCCTTTCTTGGGTTCCCCCCTCTTTGCAAAACTATTCCCTTTTTTGAATGCCTACTGTGTGTCTGTTACTATTTAAACCATTCTAAGGAATACTGCCAAACATAGGGTATAAATGCAGCACCCAAGGAGTTTAGAATCCATGTTCACCAAATTTCCCCAGATGCTTGGATATGAACTAATATATAATAATTTTTAATTAAATACAAAAACAAACAAAAATCTCTGACATGTGCACTACTGGCAATATGTGGGGTCTCTATAACCACCTCAAAATCTCTAAGTCCATTTCTCACTTGAATTTGTTGCTCCTAAATTTTCCTTGAAAACAGTGTCTGCCCTTTACCCCATTCCTGGTACCAAACATTCAGAATAATAGGGATATTAATTGCATGCTTCTGATGCCTGAAGATCAGCAAGTCCTCCAGGTGCCAATCCAGAAGTCCCTACCTTCTGATATGACACCATAGTATGATTAATGCACAAGTGGGCAAAAGATTTACCTCCCCATGATGGTATATTTTTTTCATTTGGGCACGAAAGCTTGTGCCTCTCTTTAGTGGTTAACTCGTGGTTCAGCTTTCTCCTACAGTCTTGT